AGTTTATTCTGATGACTGATTTTTTTCCCTCGGTTTCTGGATAAACCACCCTCTGGGGACAGGATAATAAAACATGTAATATTTTTCAGAAGGATTCCTGCAGTGTCCCTTTTTTTTCCCCTCTGCTGCATCTGTTCTCCACTTCCTAGGAGAGCCAGGGCAGAATTAGCACTGTCCTAAGCCATTAATGTGGACCAGCTTGTGTCATCTGCTGTCCTTGTTTCTGAGTGGAGGACACGGGCCCAAGGCCAGCGCCAGGCAGGTGGATGCCAGACAGAGCAGCACACCTGTGCCAGGGGCGGTGGTCTTGGTCAGTTCTCCCATCCTGAGATCCTAGGAGAAGGCGGCCACCTCCATCCACTAAGTAAAAGAAGGAAGACGGTGGGCTTGAGGCAGGGAGCTCCCAGGACAGTGCCCGAGCCACCCTGTCCCTCCCACCCAGCTCACCTGTCTGTGGGTCAGGCAGATGACCCCCTCACCCCCATCGAGGTGCTGGCTGCAGTGGCCTGTACAGAGAGGAGCTGGGTCAATGCCCACCAGTCTCCATACCCTTTCTCCCGTGCCAGGGGGGGTACTCACAGAAGATGCAGGTGAGCTGGGCCACGCAGGACACGAAGTGCTCGAAGTCCACACGCAGACGGCTGTCCCGGTAGCGGCTGGTGAGGGCCTGGGTCAGCTGGTTGTTCAGGTGGAAGCCTGGGGGAAGCTGCTTCTGAGCCCTGCAGCCCCCCAGGGACCTGCCTCAGGTCACTCTCCCTCTGGCATAGGGGCTGCCATGACCAGGGCTATGGGAAAACCCAGCCAGATGGGGTGGAAGGACCCGAGAAGAGCTGGAGCCCCTTAGCTGCGCCTGCAGGAATTCCCATTCAAGAAATTGTCCTCAAGGGCACTTTTATCAGTTTCCTTCTTCCTGGAATAACTCCTGGCATGTAGCAAGCGCTCAGTGGTGCCAGATGTGTGAACACAAGCCTGCCACCTGCACTCTGAGTCCTTGCGCCCTCACCTCTGCTCCCGTCTACCTCTGGCCCAGCCTCTCCCTCTCTGCCCCACATCTTCCAATCCTTGGCTGTCTTCCACGCCCTCCCTGACTTTTTGAGACAGAGTCGGTTCCGTCTTGTTGCCCATGCTGGAGTGCAATGGTGCAATCTTGGTTCACTGCAACCTCTGCTTCCTGGATTCAAGTGATTTTCCTGCCTCAGCCTTCCAAGTAGCTGGGATTACAGGTGCACACCACCACACCCGGCTAATTTTTGTATTTTTAAGTGCTGGGATTACAAGCGTGAGCCACCATGCCTGGCCTCTCCTTTTT